AAAAATTAAATTCACCTAGTCCAATCTAAGACTAGTCAACCTCCTTGACGTGATCTGAAATGGCATAACTCAGAATCACTCAATCTAATTCACCCGAACTCCAACAAGCGGCCCAAGCGGCCCAATTAATCGTGCGCCTTATGAAAAAAGGTGAAATATTCATAAAATTTGATAATCGAATCTTTAGTTATTAATAATTAATAAAATGATTCTATTAACCACTGTTTTTGTCAAAAATAAAATAAAAATCTAATCAACCCAATTCCACCTGTTAGACTTAGCCAGCACTCTTTCATTATTGTGAAAAAGTAGAATATCCACCTATCACGTCGAAAGTAACTCCTTCGTGCATAAGTTCCTAAGAAAGAAATATTTTTTTATTTTTAAGTGGTAATTAGTACATTACACTTTTAATATTTATTTAAAATTTTTTTAATTTATGTTTTTAAAATATAAATTAAAAATATTTTTTATTATAAATATATATAATATATAAAAATTAATATTAAATTTCTATTTTTTTAATCTTAAAAATAAAAATAAATAAAATACTCAAACTTTAACCTCTTATCAATTTTACTTCCTCTCAACTTTTCATCTTCTCCACTCTTGCTCTCCCCTTTTTTATCTCAAGCTCTCTAACCCTTTTCTTTGGTGGCACTTGCATAAAAAATTAAATTAGGTGATATATAATAAGTTATGTCATATGACATCGTAAAAAGATCATTTTTTAAAAAATAAAAAATAAAAATGCTTATTGAAAATCAAAACCCCGTGGTTGAGGTATTCTCATAACTATTAAAAATACAAAGACAAAATATCAAGAATATCAAGGTTCGTTATTAGTTGTTAATTTGTTTTTAATTAATAATTTGTTTATAACTAATAAAAATCAATTCCTGTCCAATTTCTTCTTGTATTTGATTAAACATATTTTGGATTTGCCTTTTAAATTTTAATATTGAATATAACTATATTTTTATATGATACTTTCTTAAATATTGAATAGAATTATATTTTTTGTATAATACTTTTATAAATATTGA